ACTTTATACAAAAAAAAAGGCTTATGCCGGTGGACAGTATTCAGAGTTTGGTGCTTTTATGAGAACAAGTTGTTTGGTTCACTGTCTACAGTTTTTTTTTATTAAAACGCCAAAACTTTAGTGAAGTCAGCTTCAAACGTCTGTTTTCTGTGGACTTTGTTGCATTTGTCTAAAAGCTTAATGGGAAATTTATTTCCCTTTTTACAGTCAAGTTTAAACAAAGAAATATTTGTTGGTGTTTTGTAGCTTTTTATCATTTGAAATTAAATTGGCAAACTACTGCCTCTGGTCAAAGGGCGGCAGAAAAAACAATAAATAATAGTAAAAAAAGTTAATAAGCATAAGAAACTATAAAAACCTGTAAAAATATTATAAGTCAAAATGAAAATCAATAAAGTTATGTAAAGATCTCGTATGAAAAGTAATTAAATATAAGTTTATTTAAAATGAGACTTACTAAATCACTAAGAGTTGATGCCTGTTTGACATGAAGAGGCAGCTGGTCCCAGAGTTTAAACGGTCCGGTCAAGTTTGAGGACCAGCCTGGACCTCAGGACATCTAAAGACCTGATCCCCTCTGTGAAACAGCCAATGAAAGGAATCCAGCACCGGGGAGATATGTTGACAGCACGAGAGGCTGGCCCGACTAACACCAACATACAAGTTACAATATTCCAGTTTAGTTGTAATAAAAGTGTGAATCTTGTTCAACGTCAATAAAACATTAAAACAGTTTCATTTTAGACAAAACCTTTAATTAAAAAAATGTTTCTCAAAGTTAAGATTTGAATCAAATTGCATCACTTCTAATGTTTTTTTATTTATTACAGTGATCTACTTATGATGCTGTTCTGATTCATATGACTATCTGTGATGTTTTTCCCAGGGTTTTGATGAAGGCCTTTACAGTGAGCGAGACAACTTGGCCTCTACCCCAGTATTTGGATCAGGGGTAATCGGTGAGTGAGAAAGCTCAAATAAAACCTGTTATTGAAGCAAAAGACATCACAACTTTCATTATCGTCATTTTGTTACAAACCAAAGTGAATCAAGGACGTTTGGACCGGTGTTTGTCTGAACGATAGAGGATCACTGTGACGTCAGTGGACGGTGTGAAGGAACAGAACAATGAGTTGTTTGTTTTACAGAGCAGACAGAGTTAGACATTTGTGTTCTAGTTAACGTGTTTCAGGATGAAGGGAGCAGGGTATTTGGGGAGGATGTGCAGGAGGGATTTGTTTGTGCGTTGCAGTTTGCGTGATCAGCGTGGGAGGGGTCGGGGTGTAAAGGGCACCCATGCACAAACAAGGCTCTCCCTGGGGATCACTGCGGACTACAGCTCTTCTCTGTTTTACTGTCAGGAGGGGGCAGAGGTTGGGCACAATTGCCCCAGAAGCATTTATAATGGGTCCATTTGTTTTGTTTTTGCTGTCTGCAGCCATAAATAACACCAAATACATTCACAAAGCAGATGGGATGGAAAGTGGGGCAATAACAAAACTCTGTTTTAATATTGACTAATTTATTTTTCTCACACATTCTGCTAACAGGGAAGGCTGAACAAGGACCATACTCCTCATTTGGAGCACAGGTAAATTTATTTAAGGATACGCGAGCTTCTTCATGACATTTTGCCCTTTTGTTGATTTTTGTACACCAATTAACATTCACTTCAAATCACAATAAAGAAGAAATAATAAAAAGTAAGCAGTGTTTGCTGTTCTTACACCTTAAATAAAAATAATAATTTTCTTATAGTATAATCAAACTGATTGATTGGGTCATTGCAAATGCAGTGCAGAGGTATTAAATATTTCAGTTTAGATGTGGACAAGGTTACAAATACTGTTCGGCTTGAACTCATGTGGGAGTATTCTGCCATGTTGTACTCAAAGTATTTGCATAACATGAGCTACTGGGGAAGTGAGAGAGTCAGTCCAACTGTGTTGTGCTTTTACAGCGATGGGTTTGTCAATCCTAGCTGTTAGGAGTAAAAATGTAAAACTATCAGGGAGAAAAATCCTCAACTCTGATATCATGGTCCTACACAAGGCTGGAGAAGGTGAGCTTGTGATCAGAAGGCTGCCGGTTTAACTCTGTGAGTGGAAAGCCCTCATGGAGAAATAATTTCCCCGCTGGGGATTAATAGAATTTGTTTACGCTTACTTTATTAATAAACACTAATACTGTCCCCCATCAGCCACAGTTCAAAACTGTTCATTTAACTTTGTACTCCACAGAACCTTTTGTTGGAGCAAGTTTACTGCAGCGTCTGCTTGTTCATTTCCTTAAAAAAGAAATCTAGTTCATAATCTTTTTCTCTGCAAATTACTTTAGATCACAGAATTTGACATTTTCTGCCTTCCATGACAGATCCAGTTCAGTTCACATTAGATCTCTTGCTTGTTGTGTCACAGCTAGTTGGCATGTTGGGTTTTTCCAGGGCTTATGAGGTTTTTTGTTTTATTTACAGAATTGCAGTATTATTGGCAGAGTCAGTGTTTGTTCACCTGACTGTTGCTACTGTTTGTTTTTGTGACAAGATTTGGACTGGGATATCTGGACAGAAAAACTAGAGATGCACAATAACTTTTTTTTAAAGGGATCCACAATCAGTTGTAACATTAGACTTTATTTGATAAACATTTATTTTAACTGTAAAATAATGACTGCAAAAATACTGTAGGCTGTTTTTATCATTTTTAAACTAAATTTAAAAATATATATTACATGGACTGAGCCATTTTATTTGCACGCAAAGCATTCTGGGTAAATGATGATGTCGACAAGATTATTGGTACGAGGCTGCTAGCGAGCTATATCCACCCTGAAGGTTAATCTTGGACAATATCTGATGATCGACTCTTTTAAATGAAACCAGAGAGCGTTGACAGAGAGGAGAAGGTAGAAATGACTCAGCCTGTAACTGAAAATATAGATGCAGGACCTCAGTTTAACTTGATAGTTTGTCGCGCTAGCACAGATCTAATATATATAAGGCAGTATAGCGTCTGCACTAATGCTAAAGCTAACAGGCTAAGCTGAGGTTCTTCTTCCATGAAGCAGCTCTGTTGTCCTCCATCCATATTTTCAGTTACAGGCTGAGTCATTTCTACCTTCTCCTCTCTGTCAACGCTCTCTGCTCTCTCTTTAAAAGAGCCGATCTTCAGATATTGTCCAAGATTAACCTTCAGGGTGGATATAGCTCGCTAGCAGCCTCACACCGAGGACCTATCCACGTCATCATTTACCCAGAATGCTTTGTGTGAAAATAAAATGGCTCTAGCTGTGTTAAAATATATATTTAAAAATATATAAAACTAAACTGCCTACAGTGTTTTTACAGTCTTTATTTTACAGTTAAAATAAATGTTTATCAAATAAAGTCTAATGTTACAACTGATCGTGAATCCCTTCAAAAACAGATATAGACAACCGATAGATTCAAAGTACATTTATTCCTAATATCATTAATATATAACTTCAAATAATTATTCAAACTGAAAAAGTTTATTCCTCTCAAATATAAAAACTAAAATAATTCACAAATGACAGCTTAAAAGTTCTCAGTGTAAACAACAAACTGCAAACCGTTCTTTAGATTACAATATTCCTAAAACTGTGAAACTATTCTTCTACCCTTTTTTCTAGAACGATCAGAGCAAGATTTTTTTTCCCCAAGAAAAAACAGCACCTCTTCCATCCACAGTTATTCTAAAGAAACTTTCCCTGCAGCATACCTGTTGCTTGCCGCTTTGATGCGAGGGCTGGCCCGTTAGCGTCTTCAAACATGATCAAATTCAACGTTTTCCTCTTCTTTCCTCTGTTCAAACTTCGACCACCATGTTCTCTGGTTACAGGTAGACTTTGTGCTGCATTCACGTGGCGACAGACTTTACATCTTTGCAGTGTGGAAGTAGTTCTTCCAACCTTTTTATGTTTATATTTATTTAACGTTTGTGTGGAACATACTGAGGTAATTGGTAAAATATTATTAACAACTATTAACATTATGACTGAGTTGTCTTCTGATGAATAGGGAGTATTTTACGGATTTTTTCCAGTCCAAATGTTGTTTTCTCCAATGCCACTTGAACGTTATACAGGTCTCACGCAGGACGGGAAGCAGCTTGACAGAAAAACAAAAACAAAACAAAAAAAAAAAACACTGTCATGCTGACAAACATGTAAACGTTATTGATGGTATTCTTTAGCTTTCCTTAAGTAAAACAGTCCAACTCCACATCACCACAACATAGTTCTCATTCTTTAAACATGTATAGTTGTTTTCGCTCACACCTCTGGATTTTCTGAGTTAATGTTTATAGGTTAACCATCTATCAAACAATTTAGTGCCTTATTTCTCTTTTCTTCAGCCTGGTTTCATGTCCAGCGATATGCCCTTGTCCAGTCCAAATAACCTCTCTCCAGCTGCTGTTAAGTCCGGTTCCCAGTTTTATTCATCATATGAGCGAAGCAACACTCGCAGGAGACCCTCACAGGACCCCATTGGTAAGATTGCAAAAAAAAAATTATAGGACATATTGCAAGCTTTTGTTTGATTTAAATGTGCATTGTTGTGCAGCATTGCTTCTTTTGTACACCTTTAAAAAGAGTCTAAGAAAAAGTGACATCAGCCAGTTCTCAGAATGGAGCAATTGTTGAATAACATCAGCCTAATTATGTTCTGAACGAGTTGTCACAATGACTGATTGGTTTAGCAGGAATTTGTGAGGAAGGAAGCTCCATATTTAAAGGCCTTCATTACCTATTGTGTAGTCATTTTTCTGTAAGTTCAGGCCTTTTTTTCCTGACTGACATGGTTTCCTTTTTGTCTCCCTCCCTGCAGAGTCACAGCCAAAAAAGATCAGGAAGGTGCCCCCCGGCCTGCCCTCCTCCGTAAGTACTAACAACCAGACCACGTCTCAGCGACGGCATTCATTCCAAGAGACCCCAAATTTTCACGTCTTGCGTCCTTTTTCACATTCAGTCTGACATCCGAAGCCTTTTCCTTGGCAGCAGTATAATAGCAGTGATACAGGCCTTCCAAGTCTTACAGCTGTGCATCTGCAGCAGCAAAGTCAAAAAGAACCAAGAGGGAAAAGCCACTTATTTGCAATATGTATTTATGGCGTGTTGTATTTGTGGGGCCTTTGCGGCCACATTTCTTTCCCTCTGCCAAGTCTACTCATCAAATCCCAGAAGAGAATTCATTCAGGGGTTTGAAGCTTTTTCTCCTCCTCATTTTTTCCCCCCTTAGTCGCTCCCTCTCTGGACACCCTATTTCTTTTATTTTTTTCCCCACCCCACCCCATCTCACACAGCCTTCCTCTTTTTCCCCCCCTTCGCCACCATAAACAACAGCCCTCCCCTTCCTCCTTCTCCCTCCCCCATCCCTCTAACCCAGCTGCCAGTGGAGTTGGCCGCCGTCCAGGATTTGGCAGATGGTTCAGTAATTAGGAGTGCATCTCCTCGCTCCCTCTTCTCTCTCCTCTCTCTTTCCTCTCCTTTTCCCCTGTTTAATCAAATTACAGAACAAAACTTTAGTTCTTTTTATTCAGAATTTTTTTTCAAATACAGTTAAGTTTTGATTGTGGCCTCAAATAACTTTTGCTAAAAAGTTGCTAAGAACAATCATTTCTCTATACCTTTTATTACAGGCAACTTCCCATTTTTGTGTATACTTTTAGCTAAAAAAAAGTGAAATATCTAAAAACCGTTAGTGATTAAAATATGTAAAAGTCTGACTGATATGATGGACGTGGACCCAAAAAAGAGCACTGACTGATCTATATCCAGGTCTAAGGAAATGTTGCAGTGGTGTGGGTATTCAATTAGGCTGTAAAACCAGATAGTAAAAATAGACCAGTGAGGGAACCCAACTTTTAGGAGCGCTGTTTAATCCGATAATAAATGCATACAAGTCTTCAATCAGTCGTGAAATCCAATATGGCAAAAAGAAAATAGTTTCTCTCCAACATGTTTTTATAGTTCTGTCAGACTCAACCTTTAAGCTGAAGAGTTTCGTGCTTTTATGTGCAGGTTTATACATCAAACCCCAGGGAGGATTTTAATCGAGATTGCTACCCTCCCTCCAAAGCAGGAAACGTCTACCTATCACCATACTACGGGCAAGGTCAGTTGGAACAATATTTTTTCTCCAGAGTTTCTCCTTGTTCTTTGTGTTTAGTTGAAAAGTTTAGTCTGGCAAAGACAATAATTTCCTGGAATTTTCCTTTGAAGCCGGTGCAGCTGGAAAATTGGTTTCTCGGCTGTATTGTGTCCAGATGCACCAGAGGTGTTGTAGGCTACAAAGCCCCTCTGGTGCCTGGCTGTTGAATAGTGAATCACGATTGAATAAAGTCGTCACAGTAATGTGACATGTCTCATATGCAGTCCTCATTGTCTTCTGGTCTCCTGTGGCTGGTTATCCCTCAACCCTTCCTTCTTCCCCTTTCTCTGCTGGATGGCCTCTGACAGAAGGTCTCCACCCGCCCTCCGATCCTTGGGGCTCTGCCGGGTCGATGATTCAGCCTGGTTATTCTGCCGTGTTGGGCAACTCCCCCCATCTGGGTCAGCACGGACCTTTCACTGCCATCAACCCTCAAGATAGACTGGTGGGTTTTAACTTCACGTTGAAGACTTGTTAAAATCAACCCACACACACACACACACACACACACACACACAAATGGATCATGAAAGTCTCTGTCTGGCTATTTATTTAAACTGTTGGGTGTGTGTTCTTCCAAGAAACGGCAGCCTCTGCCACTTTCTCCCCACAACTACCCCCTGCATGGCAGTGAGGTGAACGGAGCTCATCCAGCTGGGTTCCACTCTGGCTCCAGCAGCTTTGGAGTCCCCAACCACACACCCCCTATCGCCAGCACTGAAACCCTTATGGGTAAATCTTATAGTGTGTGCCTCTTCCTTTTTAAAATGAATGTGTTATCAAATAATATTGTCACACAGCTAAACGCTGATAGTGATCAAAGTTTTTTTCTTGATTTATGCAGCAAATCGGGGTGCAGTTCCTGGAAGTTCAGGTGATGAGATTGGGAAAGCCTTGGCATCAGTAAGTACTGATAAGCTACATATTTAAGGAAACGTGCTTTATTTACACAAATATATGTCATATATGGTGTTATGAAGCATTATAAATGTAATCAAATTGTTTGATTTGATTGAAATTCAGACATTCTTTGTCCAGATTTATCCTTCAGACACAMACAGTAATGTTTTCCCTCCGTCTCCATCGACTCCCTCTGGATCACCTCATGCTGTTTCAGGTGAGTTTTCCTCCTCAAGCTCAGAGCTTTGCTTCTTTATTTGTTCCGGCGCAACAT